AGCTTATTGTAAATTTATAACATTGATGTATTGCGGTCATTTGACCATAGTAATAATGTCCTTACAATTTATAATAATAAAGTAATTGAACAATTTGCTACGAATATTAAAATTGCACGTAATCAATGTAAATTACTTGTGTTGTTTAAATCAAGGACAATTATTTTTTCATATTTAATAAAAAAATAATTACTTAAATTCTTAATGTTTTAATTTTTCACAAAAATATTTTTTGAACCAGGGTAATTGATCATGGTAATTTGAGAGTGTACAATTGAAGTTACATTTGTTAGTTTAAAAACATAAAAAATAAACCGTAAAATTTAATAATAATTTTTTTCTAATAAAAGTTTAATGAAAAGACTTGGCTAAAAATTATAAGGATTAAATTAAAGTTTTTACATCTACACAAGTCTAAATTTAAATTTGGTGACCAACTTCATAGCTAAAAATTACCTCCTCTTACGTTTGAAGACTATTTTTATATATACGAAATCGTGTGGTAATATAAAAAGCAGATGAACCCAAATTAAACTTACTAGAAGAATTTTTTCGAAGAATCACGATAAATAAAAAACACTGCTTTAAAATCACTCATTATTCGGTTAGAAAGAATTCCAGTACGCAATAACTTTCTAGAGAATTTTACAAAAATACATTTTTTTTTTATCGAATAGTTGCTTATTAGTTCCATTTTTGAAACTGTTTTTATTATTATTCGATGGTAAGATATGTAAAAAAATATTGTAAAATTTTAAACAAAAGCATTGAAACAGCATGCTTTATTATATGCAAAAACTTTTTTTTCTTGCTTAAAAATATAAACGATCGCATATACATAATTATTTCCAGTATATCCTCTTTAAGGAGAATAAACATTTAAGGAAAAAAATATGGAAGACGTTAAAGGACTTTTTGGGCAAAACCATATTGTTGACACTATAATTCTTATAATACCTAAAGTATTTAAAGAATTTTTGATCTAAGTTTAACCAATGTCGTTGACTATTTCTACTTTATTAAGGCAAATGGCTTTAAATTAAGTTCTCGAAACCCTGCCTCATAATTTACAGCTTCATGTTACTCGGCATAGTTCCAACAATATTACCACTGAATTATAGCTGAATAATTTCATTATCTTGTAAATACTACTTTAAAACATCTTTGTGACAAAGCTAAGTTATATTGAGAAATTCCTTACTTTAGATAACTTTACCAAATATTTGAAACAAATTTAATATAATGATATCTAAGAGTGTCACTTGTATTCATTTAAATAAAACTCCTTAGTTTGTTTCCTTGTTTCGAATAAAACTAATTTATATAAATTTAATAAATTAAACAAAATTAATGTAAATTGTAAGAAGATATCCCTTTAATATAAATCATGTCTTAAATTAATTTGATAGGTCCCTTTTAATCGATTCTTAGTTTTTAAATGAAACATTTCAACACAGTGGAAGCGTTAACATGTATTTTTTTTTATTGTTGCTAATATTTTGCCAAATAAAGAAGAAATATTAACACGTAATTATAACCCATTGAATACTCTAAATAGCCTGTAACAGCTTCACTGCTGGCTTGCAAATTATTATAATATAAATCTGTGACCAAATGGATATACATAATTGCCTCTTTGATGTTAGTGCAGAACCGTATAGATGCTAGTAATATTATAACTTTCTAATAACTAACGTTTTATATTTATCCCAAAATAAGATACTGTAAGTAGATAGGTGAAACTTTCTTCAAGGAGGACTATGTTTACAAAAGTGTAAACAATCCTACTTTCATTATTGACTTTTATTTGGAAATCCTATAGCTAATAAAGATTTAATGTTACTAAGGAATTTGATACCTGAAATTCCTTTTGAAAACTACTCATGTAATAAAACAATTTCCGTTTACGTGAACTCTAACTGAAGTATCAAGATATTACATACGCAAACCGTTACTTATGTTTTTTTAAATATATATCTATCAAATTAACTAAAGTAATTATCAAAAGACTTTTTGAATAATTAATCTTGTTTTATTTATTTAACACTTAGAAAACAAAACTATTCTTTGTGTGATATATTAACAATTCATATCTAATGATATTTTTTTAACATGGCGTTTAAGAAATGAACAAGAATAACATTGATGTTACAAGAAGAATATTGAGTAACTAGTATTCAATTAAAAAATAAAATCCGACCATTAAAGGTAATTTTTTCTTAGAATAATTTCGAAATGTGTTGCTTGCTTTATATGAAAATGTCCTTCAATATACATTGTGGATTATAAAAAGTTATAATATCGGAACTCATAATGAATTAAAAGACGACCATCAATTTATCATCGCAAGAGCCGTTACTTCCTGAGGTCTTTCATTAAACCATCCGTAGTCAAAATTGGATTTTTTCAACAAATTTATTAGTTCCATGTCATTTAATGATTTCTTTCTACAAAGTTAGTATATATTTTAAGAAAAGTTATTTAATTTATTAATATCGTTGAAGATTGATGAATGTCGATGTAACAATTAATTTTTGTTACATGTTAATGATTTATTTTTAAATTAAAACGAATCGTTTGAGTATCCTCATCGTATAATGCAGTAGCGTGTATAGAGATTTGGGGTAGGGTAAGCAGAATATGTTTGAAAAAAAATACCAATTTTCATAATTTGTCCCTCTAATACGTAATAATAATGATATCTTTCGCAAGTTTTGATTTAAATTTTAAATGGAACTAATATTTTTATCGTTTTTAACGAGCAGACGAGATGTCTGCCGTGATCATGGTTGCTGCAAAGTAACCGAAACGTCGGGAGTATGTAGTTAGTAAACATAATAAAATACGCGAAGTAATCAGTAAATATTAATTTCATTTAAATTTTGATAATATTCACGCAAAATGTTACAGCAGTCCTATCAGAACGAACACCTATATACATACTTTATGAATCTCTCAACTACCTCTGAGCCACGAAAGTACCTTAAAACGATTACGATCTGTTCATCACAGCTCTATAAAAGTTATTTAAATAGGAATATCCACTGGAGATTCAAACATTCTTATTATTATCATTTGAAAACAACAAATAAGGCTACCAAATAACTTATTTGTGTGTACACAACCTCCTAACTAATTAGAACTATCCTAATACTTTTTCATTAAAACGAATAACATTACCTTTCTTTCAGTTCAATCTTAACTGGTCACACACACCTTGAGTTTACACTTATTTTAATTTTATTTGTTAAATGTCAGTTAACATTTGTATTTCGTAATGTATGATTAAAATTATGTAAGTAAGAATTAAACAATATCGGTTTAGTTGTTATATCGGTAGGGTATGCAGTGCTTATTTTGCATCTATGGTGTGAACGCCACTGATATAAAGATAAGTTAGTTGATTTTTATTTTCTGAAAGGAAAAGTAACACTCCAAAAAGCATACCTATATTTTTGCTCACGCATATCTTCATAATATTCAATTTATAGCAACAATGTTTTCTTGCAATTTCAAAAATACAACCAAATTGTTCCTAGTACTAATGAAAATTATTATTAGTTAGAACTCTAATAAACGTATATAACATTAAAAATAAATCTAATAAAAATAATATCTAAATCTACACAGCCTGTTTGTCACAGTTTTATTTTTGTTTTGTATCAGTTGAGTTTCATATATAAATAAGGAGCTATTCGAATAGAGTAGAATATTTGTCATTAGATTATAAAAAAATCTTATCTTCTGGTCTATAAAGCAACAGTCTTTAGTGTGTTGTTATAAACTTGAATAAACTTTGTGATGTCATTAATATTAGCATGCGTACATGAGCATAAATATGTGAAGGTCTAAGAAACAACTTTGACAAAGTCTTGGTAGTAGTAAAATTTTAAAATAAAACATTACTTCAATAACAAATCACTTTATTTAAACTTGAAAACCATATAAAATGTGAATTATCATATAAAACAATTTGCATAAACACAATATAAGCCTCACTATGCATTAAACAAAAAAAAAGAGTTTATAAATATTTGCTCTAACATTTTTGGCGATATTTGGTTTTTACATTTAAATGACTAGAAAAATTATGCTAATATAACATCGTTATAAATTAAAATATATTCGATTTATCGAAAATTTCGGCAAGGTACAAAGAAAAGTAGAATTGATAGTATGAAAATTATGATAATGATGATACATTTATAAACAAATGCTGGATGATGTGTTAATATATTTTGTTACCAAAAAATTTATTAAGATAAATTGATACATATATGAGAACTGTTTCTCAAATTTCAAGGTTAATATTATTTAAAAATTCTTCATGTATTGTTACATATACGGTCGTTGTGGAAATAGGAAAATACTCAAAGTGTTCGTTGTATTTAGGTACATAAATTTAGACACTGTTCAATCGCATCGTGTTTTTTAAGGGATTAAAAGTCCTCCAATTGCCTCATATATCATAAACTCATATGACTATAAAGATGTTCATGTTACATGAGTTCAGAAGATTTAATCCGTTTTACAATAAACAAGGATGAAGGTCAAAGGATTAATTATGTTTTATTTACGAACGTGTTGTTTCTTGACGTAAGAACAAGAACAAATCTCTTATTAATTGTTTTAAAATAAATACAGATCATGCTTTAATAGTTCAAAGAATATATGAACAATGAATATTTACTTTATCAGTTTTACATATAAAATTTGTTATGCAAAGAATCTTTAAAAGCCAGCATTGGAAAACTATATCTGAAAAAGAAAACAAATATAACAATTAATGTATTGTATACACATATTCCAGAGAGCACTGAAAAGTTGAAGGTTCTTTTTTATTCCAGATTCTATTTCCCTTAAAGCAATCTATCTAAACTTCATACAAGTTTAAAATTTTGAGTAACATTTCAATTCCGCCAAAGTTCCTTTAGTATGAATTTCTCGATGGATCTGCTATTTAAAATGGTTTTTAATATTTGTAGCAAGAAAACCTACCGTTAGAAAACTTGCACCCTATGATTCTCTCGGTCGCAAACGATGATGTTTCCACCAGACATGACGGCAATACCCTCCAACCCTTTGAATTCCCCGTCACCGCAACCCCAAGACCCAAAAGCTCTGAGGAACGTCCCGTCAGGGTGAAAGATCTGAATTCTGTTGTTTCCAGAATCTGCTACAACTATGTAACCTTGATCATCCACTGCCACACCCCTAAAAGCAAAAGATAACATCATAAATTATATGAAAACTAATAATAGCCTATCATATATCAAATAGAAAAGTAGCTTTGGTAGTTAATTCATAATTAATAAAGGTATAGCAAGTCAAAGTCATGCTAGAGTATATAATAAACCTTCCCAATAAAGTAGTAAAGACTACAATATCGCTTGCTCATAAAACTGAAGTCGAACTATTAAAGACACTCGATAAACGAATCACGTATTGAGGTCAGCTCTTATACTATTTTCACGCTGTAATTCGGTAAGAAGGTACCCGTAAAATTCAAAGTACATTTGATACTTTCTCGGGAATTTTAAACTACATTATTAATTAAGTTGTATTTTTATAATAATAATAAAATTGAACAAATAGTTTCTACATGAAATAAAAATATATGTGGCTATTTATTTCTCCTGTAAGATATATATATATATATATATATATATAAAGAAATTAAATTGTAATATTTGAAAAGAGATAAAAGCCTGTGAGAAAATTACTATTGATTAAGAAAATACCGATCACAAGGTGAGTCAACAAGGGCTTGGACCTTCCGAAGTGTAATCTCATTAACCTCCCCTGTTATCCTGGTTAAGAACTCTCTAATGTATCTTTAATGAGTCCTTAGTTTGTAGTATGTGGTTATTTATACATTTGCTTGATTAACGTACATACATACATTGATCTATTAGGGCTATAGTTTAAGTGTAATAATTTCTCTTAACTAATATTATCTGACACATAAACTGAATATAAAAGCATGTAAAGTGTTTTTACAAATGAATAAAATAAATAAATAAAATAAATATATAAAAAATAAATAAATAAAATGTGCACGTTCATAATGGACTTTGACATTAAAATAAATATAACAGACCTTGGGAATTTAAACTGTCCATCTTCAGAGCCTTCTTCTCCAAATGAAGAAAGGACGCGTCCATTTACATCGAAGACTTGTATCCTATGGTTGTTGGAGTCAGATACAAGTACACGATTTGTGCTTGAAACTGCTATATAGTGAGGATGTTCTAGCTGTCCTAACTTCGAGCCGAAACTACCAAATTTGCCCACAAATGTGCCATCGGATTGGAATACCTGCAATAAAAGTGTTATAGTACAACTTCGTGCTATAATTTTTCACAGTACACAGCAGAAAGGAAAATATACTGGATATTGTTCAACTCTTTCATTTAAATAATACTGTTCAGTGTAATATATGTAAATTTACCTGTACTCTATGGTTTTCCTTGTCACAGACATATATAAATCCGAGTGCATCTGTGGTGATACCCCAAGGGTAGTTAAACTTGCCATCACCAGTGCCTTGACTACCGAATGACCTCAAAAATCGACCCGCTGGATCGAATACCTGGAAAAGAAAAAATAAATAATTGAATATTTATATCTATTTTAACTCAATTTAATTTAAATGTAAATTGAATTTGAATTCTATTTCAAATAGTTTTAGATTGAAATTGTTTAAAGTAAAATAGATATCTTAAGTAGTTATTAATGTTACCATTAACATACAAATATAGCTCTGTATTCCCAACAGAATCTAATCGGCTATCTGTTCAAGCTGACACGAACCACGCCATTATGCATTTGAATTGTCTAATTAGTTTTAACAGATATCTTTAATACGTATATATTATACATATAACTAGGTGATTTCAAATAATATATTTATTATTGTAATTCAATAATTAATTATTATTTTTCATTTCCACTGTTACAAATTTGGTTTTTAGTTAATGTATACTAGAGCGTTATCTATGTAAGTGCTAATCTACGCTAAGCGTTGCCGAATGGTAGGTATAATTTTATAAATTGAAGTCACGCCTCAAGAATCCCTCAATAATGTCACGTACGAAACTTCGTTAGTGCCATTCAGGTTAATTTGTCAGGTTGTAAACAACAGTTAACAAAGAGGAATATCAATTAATTGACATTATCTATACGAGCCAGCATCGATGAATGCTAACGGTAATCATGCATATTTAATTAGTGTTTATCTATCACCTATGCATTTAAGTAAAATACTATAGAAACAGAACTGGCATTACAACAATCCATTTTATATTATAATGAAACAATTATTACAATTATTATCATCAAAAATGTTGTGAGTATTCTCGTGCAACCATAACATCAAACCAATTATTTCCAGTTATCTGAATATTAAACTTTTACTGCTCAATCATTTCTTAAATTAAAGAAAATTGGAGAGAAATGGTTCTTAATGGTCATGCTATAGAGGTTGAAGAATATTTTGGAATAAATTTTATTAAAACAAACAAAACTTTATTACTTTACTTTCAACTCGTTGGCAGGAAATTCCTTGAAAACGTTAATTATCTTTGAATTTAGAATTTATAATTGCCTTTTATTAAAGTCTGACAGAAGTTTCAATTACATTGTATTAAAAGTAACTTAAGTTTATTTTAATACCTAACAGCCTACTTCAGGCTGCTTATTATTATATCAATTACATAAAATATCTTTAAAAAGAGATTAGGTCATTTTCACTAAAACACAATATAAAAAAAATGCTATTTGAAATGTGATGATAAATAAACGGAGCATTTAGGGTTTTAATATACATATAATATATTGTTGGTATTTGCTAAGAAGTTCGAAGACAAAGTTTTGACAGTGCAAACGACAGTTTGACAAGCTCTCGAAAGTAGGAAGGGGTTGTGTTGCTAGGTGGAGAATTTAAATTTTCAGGAGAATATTTATAAATAATTTAGAAAAATTAGCACAGAACGAAATATTCAAGTAACTTTTTGGCAATATCGATTACATTGTATTATTTCCTGCTTAGTATATTGTATTTTTTTTAATCACAATGAGAATTAAATTAAGTGTTATGTGAGTTTGAATATAATGGTGAGACGATTACTGCATTATAGAAAAATAATTATAAGTATCTTGGTATAATGTTATTAAATTCACCTGTATTCGATGATTGTATCTGTCAGCTATGATATATTGTCCAATACGATTGACGGCGACACCAGCCAGACAGTCAAACTCCCCCTCTCCACTACCGTATTGACCGAATTCTTTTATAAATATACCATTTGAATCAAATACCTGAAAAAAAATATTTTTCAACGTTTTTACAATTTATAATAAAAGCTTTGTAATATTAAAGATACGATTTTCTCTTAACAGGCTCAGTGGAATAAAACTAGGTACTTAAATATTTAATATCGATAATTTAATGCAACATTGAAGTTTGTCAAAACTCTAACTTAAACTTTTGGGTTTACTTTAGAGATTAGAAATACTATACTTTATTATTTTAAAATTCAATGCGTTGATACATTAACTCCTTGATTTAACTATAATTTAAGAATGATAATTATGCAGATCGATAAGTTAATAAGTATTTAAATACACGTTTTTGATTTATGTAAACAAGTCTTAGCTTACTATATAAATCAGTCATAATGTTAGGATTTTTGATTAGATTAAGATATGGAAAAAATTCTTTTTCTAAGGCGTATCGTAATAAATAAGTTTAATTCAAATGGTATTGAAAATATGTACTTGAACACGATGATTTGATGAATCAGCCACGACCATTATATTTTCGGGTCCTACAGCGATACCACGTGGCCAAGTGAAACAACCGGGTTCGCTCCCCCGACTCCCAACACTGAATTGTAAACGGCGTTTCTGCAGATACTGGCTCCTAGGGGAGGAACCTGCTGCTGCGAAACCTAAGAAACACAAACCAGTTACAAATATAATCTTAACTTTTTTGCAACCCAGTCTCAGAAGCCTCAAACCTATATACACGCCACTCGTTATTCTAACCTGCTACCGCTGCTGTAGCCGCCGTAGGGGAGATGGGGGAGCCTGCCGCGTTTTTTGAATCGTCGTCAGAACTGGCAAGCTCATTAGCTGAGCGTAATGGCAACCCGAGAGACAGGCGACGAGATGAACTCGAAGAAGACCCACTTGTGTCACGATCTTTACCTCGCGAACCATATTTATTTTTTAAGTATCTCGCCCAAGAGCTTAAGGCTGCTCCGTCCTTCTCTCCAGTTACTGGACGTTCAGGGGAGCTTTCTCTAGACTTGAGGGCATGAGAAGAACGGCTACGAGACAACTCCGAACCTCCTGTGCCGGAGCCGTATCGAGCAGCAAGATAAGCTGATGGTGAAGCAGTTGTAGGAGAAACTGGTTCATCTTGGTCATCATCGTCACCTGCTCCGAAGCCAGTATGACTACTTTTACTTCGTGCAAGGCGATTGCGTCGTTCTTTTAAGGCAAGGTACCTGGACCGAGCCGTGGGATATTTTGATTCATCATCTAAGGAAGATGTTAATTCCTCGTCTTTAGGCTTACTACCATAGCGACTACTATATGATGAACTGGTGGCACCGTATCGAGGAGACGGCTCCTCTTCAGTTTGCGATGACTGGCGAGTTCGGTATCGCGTTTGAGCTGGTGTATCTTTATTTTTATTATCATGTGCATCATTTCGAGCATTGGTACTTCTTGCTAGAAGGGGTCCAATGTCACTACGTGCCATCGCCTGACTCTCGGGCTTCCTTTGCGTTGCAGGCTCCTCCTCGCTCTCCTCAGAAGAGTCGGTTTCCTCTTCAGAACTCGTATCGGAGTCTTCGTGAGCCGGCTCGGCGGGCGCCGGGGCAGGTGTCGGTCGTTGGGATCCAACGAATCGACTTTGAACTCGTTGGGCGCCGCTGGCTGTTCCATTTGTTGTCACTGGAGCAGATCTCTCATTGCCTGCGGACAAAATACGAGAGATCGGTTTTGGAGAAGGCCCATCAATGCTGTACTTGGCTTTCAACTCCGCGATTGATAGAATTGCACCTGTGTGTTTAACCGCCGAGCCGGAACTTTCCGTCGATGCACTAGATTCAGTACTAGTAGCACGAGCTGAGGGTCGATGAGTGGATGATGTATCAGACGCAGAAGGTCTTCTCGTAGCAGTTGGTTTTTGTGTTTGTACCGAGCTCTTGCGCTGATTTCTTTGAAGAGATCCAACCGATTCTTCATCGGATTCACCTTCACTGGATGCCTGAGAAATATACTGAAATTCGATATTGATACCAAAACCGCAGTCTGATACAATTTTGTTGTAGTGTTGTGTATGTAAGTATGAATTAACGTGGAGTGTATTAGTGGAATGTCCTAGTTAGTTGTCGCGTTTTCCATGTTAGTATCGATGAATAATTTCTACTTTCTTTCTTTATCTTATCAATCGGTATCTTCTTCCCAACTAACCTCGCGTGCTGGAGTAGGTGGTTTACGATTAACACAGCGGGTCTCTCTTCTTCGACAGGTCTTGAAGGAAGGCGTTCTGGTTCTTGTGATGACGCTGCACCTTTATTCTGTCTCTTTAATCTTGTGATTTCGTCATCTTCACTCTGTTGTCTTACTGGTGGCTGCCGACGTTGAGGTTGTGGAGCAGGTTGCACTGGTTTTGGGGGTGGAGGTGGCTCCTTTTTTTCTTTCTTCTTTCCACTGTCTACGTCAAGTATCCGTTGTATTACACGTGGGCAGTCGCTAAGTCTAAATATTCCACTTAGTGGACCACGTGTTGCATCTTCGGTATCTGCAACTTTTTCCTTTTCCTTTTCTTTGTGTTCAGATTTTACAACTCTCGCGCTTTGTTCGGTATCAGAATCGTTATCTTGTTGATGACTTCTTACAAAACGTGAACGGAAACGACGAGATGGTCTGTGTTCTGACTCATAACCACTGTAATCGTCTGTAGCGCCATAGTCTCGCGTGTGCTTTTCCGGTGGAGGAGGCCGCCGTTCTCCGAATTTTCGTCCACCTAATATGGGTTCATCGTTTTCCATATAACCTTTGGCTTCTTCTTGTTGACGAAATTGTGTTGCTAAACGATGATCACTTTTAGATCTAGTAAGACCTTGAGATTGTTGTAAACCAGCTGAATACGCATTTGGATTAGTTATGTTAAGTTCTCCATAACTAGCAACATGCATAACTAGTTGGTTTGGATCATGAGTCATTATAAAACGAACTCTACGATTGTAATCACCAGCCTCATAGTCAAAGTTTCTAAGAAATTCTACCGTTTTGAGAAAAATTTCTTTCGTATCAACTAATTCGGTATCCTCCCACTCGACGTCATCATTCATATATTTATCAGCTAGATCACAATTACTCTGAATATTGCTTAATTCTAACTCTAAATTATCTTTAAGATGCGTTAGGTTTCTAAGTTCAGTGGCAAGATATCGGTCAACTTCTGTCCTTAAAAAATCAGTTCGATCTTTCAGGGCTTTTGCAAGTCTTTTACGAATTTCGTCAATTTCTCCCGCTACTGCACCACAGTTTGTTTGAAGATTTGCTGTATTTCGTTCAACTACAGCCAAAATATCTTGCAACCGATTTACACCACGTCGAATTTGATTGTTGATTCTAGCTATTTCTCTTCTTAATACTTCCATATGAGCAGATTTGCAATCTTCACAAACTTTTTTGTCGCAATGAGCACAAGGAGCACAATATGCCTTTTCTGAGCAAACATTGCATCTTTCCATAACTTGCCCTGCTGTTGGATCAGGTAGCTCTCCAGCAATTTGAGCATGGAGTTCCAAAAATCTTTGTAGAGTAACATTTGTTGGAAATCCTTGAACTCCTTGATATGGAATACGATGCTCAGCACGACATTCTGGACATTTAACCTAAAAACAAAAATAAAATTGTACTTTCCTCACTAATACAAATGTATATGCTATTTGACACAAGTGTAAAACATCTATGATACATTTGTGAACAAAAAAAGGACCTCCTCCATTAATACATGAAAATATATGCTATTTTTAACCTGTCTGCGGACATAATCGACAAGGCCGTCCATACACGGCTCCATACAATAGCTGTGCTGGCATGGTAACAGCTTTGGATTCCTAAATCGATCCAAACACACGCAGCAAGTTAGCAGTGATTCGAACTGCTCCATTTTGGTTTACTTCTAGGAATCTGAAATAAAAACACAATTGATAAATATCTCAGTAAACATTGAGAAATGAATACTCCGGTAAAATATTATTCTTTTAAAATACAAACATAGTATAGTATATAGTAATATCAGACTTATTAAAAACCCATAATTTACAGCTGATTTAACTATATAAGTGGTATAAATAAATGATTTCATCACTAATTCTGAACAAATGTATGTATAAAAATCTTAGTACTCCTTTTTTTATTACATTTTTACACCGTAGAAATATAATAAAATAACATTCATTATCGGATTAATTTGATTTGAACTTCACAGTGTGCTTTAAATCACAAATTTTTAAAAACTTTTCTCATCCCTAAATCTTATTTAAATGAGAAAAGTTAACAAACTTCCGAGGGAAAAAAGTGTTGAGAATAAATATACCTACTTAGATTACACTCGTAATCTAAATCAAATAAATGTTTTGATGTTTGTGCATATTATAATTTGTAAAATTAGCTATTGTGACCGCATAGCTCTGTAACATTAAAAAAATATAAATAACAAAAAATATACTTTTGACCTTTATAATATGTTTAATGTACTTTTATTAACTAGAACATAATTTTTACACCTGCTGGTATCGTATTCAAGACTATGTTTAGTAATACTGAAATACCACGTTTATATCTGACGTCCAAAGCAAGCTTCGTCCGGTTGTATCAGAAATAGATTGGTCGAAAGACGAGCGAAAATGTGGATACGACAATAAAAAACATACAAATTTAAATGACTCTCAAAAAGCTTAGTTATGGCTTCGTGACGATCCTATCTTTGACATAGTTATTTCAACCTTTTGATAGATATTCCATGCACTTTAATTGTCCTATATCTTTATTATTTAATCATTTAAAAAAAAAAAAACTAACTTTTATTTTCTGTACCTACTGAAGTGTTCTCTACTACAATGTGCATATAAAACGGACGAAAACCAGCTGTTTCTCCATATATCTCACATGGAGTACGTCACGATTATATTTAGTCCTGCCGTCAGTGAATGTTTTCAATGGTTTATAAATAGTCAATATCATCGTTACAGTTGATTAATACTGTTTGATTCAAAATAAGTATTGAAATAATTTGTGCATGTTTCCAATATTTTAAAGACATTGATATAAAAAGACGTGTTTTTTTGTAGCAATATTTATTGATTATTTTACTTTTCTCTTGTCATAATTTAAGTTAATTTAGATTTATACTTTATTTTATTTTTATATTAAACTTTGATTATTTATACCCACAACGTAATACAATTAACAACATTCACATGAAAATATTTAGCTGCCACATTGACCTTACTATGAATATTTAATGGTAAGGATTGAATAAGTTTACTGAGAAAATATGTTTTTTTGGCGGAACCCACTGAAGCAATGAGTTTTAATTGTACTACCTATACTTTTTTAGGAACCATTTATTATTAAAAAAAAAAAAACAATTTATGATCTCCATACCAGCACACTGACCGAATGGGGTTGTGATATTATTTGTGATATTATAAAAATCACCTAAATCTGTTCATAAAAAACATTTCTTGTTAATATATTCAATAAAACCATTCATATATAAATACGAATTTTCATTTTTGTTGATAGTAACCTTTGTATATGCCATAATAATAATAATCCTTAGTTAATAATAATTGATGGACTAATACAACTTACAACTCTGAGTGATCAATGAATTACATATAATCTAAAGTGTAGTTTAAGGAAAGCGTCATGCTTTATGGCCGGTAATTTTTTCGTTGATACAAATATTTCAATTTTTTTTAAGTTTTATGTATAAAAATACGAATAGAAACATTCAGAATAACATAAACAAAATAATTATTTAAATAACCACCTACACTAAGGAGTGTGAAACCCTCACTATGTTATTTTTTGAAAACGAAAGAAAAAGAAAAAATAATTACAGAAATAAGGAGTAAAGGTCTGAAAAATATACCTGCTAGTATTAAGTGATACTGACATATTTGATTCTTAATAAAAATATTAAAAAAGTATATTAAGCTATTTTCGTAATAATAATTATTTATCAGATCTATAAAAACATTTCCGATTGAAATTGAACCAAGAATAAAAGATTTTCTTTTTAATAAAGACGTGAAGAAGATCTATTAATAATAATCTCTCATTAACATTTATTAAACGAATAATTATAATGTTTAAGGTTTGACAAAAAACTATTTTTTAAATTACATTTTACTTATACTTCTTTCTATTTGTTTATCGTGTTTGAACGTCAGAGTTATTTAGAACAAGGTTGTTGAAAGACTTTTAATAACTTCCTCCACATTTCAAGCGTAATATTAGGCCTTTTTGATATGGTAAATTTTTAAGTACTATTTAATATATATATGAAATATTTGCTAATTGATTCAAAATCTATCTAAAATTAAAAAAACACGTTAAATGTATAATTACTTTCATATAGGAGTCAATCCTAAAAACTAAACCCTAACATGAAACTTATAATATAAAAAATTACCAACAGTTCCAGTTAAACGAAAACAATGTTTTTATATTGAATTAAAAATATATTTATATCATTTCGAACCTCCTTTAACTCTCCTTCAAATTTTATTTTTGCACAATCACTGTGAAATCGAAATTTAAACAGCTGACTAATAAATTTCTTAATGATTTAAGTATACCTTTCGTCAACTCAAATGACTTATGTAGTTATGAGTAATGTTAGGGAAGTTTAAAAATAATGTGCACTATATTTAAAACACATGACTAGTCATCAAAAAAACAACAAAAACATAAAAAAGAAAAAGACAACATGCCAACACGGAAATATATATGAACGCACACGATTTTATAGAACAAATAAATATTTATAAATAAAAATTATTTATCAATGACGTAGAAAACAATTTCCATAAAACTACGTCATTTGGAGCGGTGTCTAAATTTTTTTTCTCCTGTAGCGTCTCAATGACAAAATCTTATTTCAGAAATACCATTCCCCCTTCAGTTACATTTACATAACTCCGTTTTTATTCATATTTTATTGGATTGTCTCGATTAGGCCAGCCTGTATGAGACTTTCCTTATTGTTATTGTGTGTCAGATTCAAGAGTTACTGCCGTACGTGTGTCATAATTCTCTAAGAAAATATATTTTTGTTGTTATGCACCTTCACTTAAAAATTCCTGAATTTCTATAAGTTTTCATTAACGCAAAGAGAAATCGAGAAGTTAATATAAATCGTTTTACAAACAGATGAAAAATCAATATTAAAACAATTAAAACTTTTTAATGATGACCGGTGGAAACGAAAGATGACTTGCGGTAAATAGCTACGTAGCCCGAAGGTCTTTTGCGTCACAGCGTATTAGTGTTACATACAGGAATGGCGATGAAACATGCTTGGCCTACATGAACAAAAACAATTAGGTTAGAAATTTCACTCCATGAATCAAGTTGTACAACTTCCGCTTGTTCTTTTTACTTTGTCATATCTCAAGTGCTTATTTATTGTGAAATCGTTCCTATTAAACAAAGCAAGTCAGTAATAAAACGCTTATTTATATCATTCAACAGCACTATTCGAGATTCTGTATTGTACCAATTGGGGATAACGTCGTTCATATGTAGAATGGTTCAGGAAAAGCTCCATACTTACAGCAATACATGAAAAGGAAAATCACTTGTAAAATCCAAATCACAAGCAGGCAATGCACTAAATTATTTACTTGTCATTGTTGCGGCACTTGGTTAGACTAGTTTTATCACAGGCGTCGATGTTCACGATCCTCGGTATACTGAGGGCAACTCGACACCGGAGCACGGGGTGATATTTTTGGAGTGCGCTCGCGCAGCTGGTTCCATCACGTTTACTTTTGGACGGGAAAAGGTCATTGGACACAATTTGTTTTAGATAATAAGCATTGTTCCTCTTTGTATTCAATGTCGATTACAAAGAAATCGACCATATGAATGATCACAACAATGATGACAAATAGAAAAATGTATGAATATTGCCGTTATTATTTCAAACTGGAAAATTTTTAGGTAGTGCTTGTATAGTTAGAACTGGTTCATCTGTTTTATTTTATTTATTGCGTAAAAACAATACTAACATATAGACATACAAGCAACAAAACTTTTTCGTACCATCGTCCAGAATATACAGTAGAGCAGGAACTGCATCACTATAAATACATAACCTACTGTCCTTTCCGATAAATGCCAATGACTTGCATATAAATACTCTGATAGATATATGTCGCAGTATGCGTTAGAAGAAATGCGTACACGTGTCTGAAATCGCATCATTTCAAAGATGTTCCATGACGTATTATAAACAACTCGATTCCATCAAATATATAAATACTTTACTTTTCTTTTCTTTGTCTGCAATAACTAGTAATGTCTGCAATAACTAGAAATGAGACTAAAGAGGATTTTTGCATTAGTTTAATGTTTTATTTGTGGATATGAGTATAATTTTATTTTATTTTATTAAAAACTTGAATTATTATCTCAAAATAAGATAAAGAAATATAAATATTAGTTTCATTTTTAGTTTTTTTTTAATTAATTTCATCACTAAGTTAAAAGTTATATTCTAAATACACTTTGTCTTGAAAATTTATTTCAACCCATTAACTCGTATAACAGCAGGATAATATTTACCCCAATATCACTTACGCGCAATTTCGACAACAATCCGAAACGAGACATAAATTACCCCACTAAGCCACGGATGTCATAATTATTACATTACAGCAACGAATTACGTTCGTCTAGTAGCATGTAAAATTATATTGTCTTTACCTCCGGTAACGTGTCGTCTAAACGATATTTGGTTGAAAGGTAATTTTGTAGGATATTACAATATCATGCTAATTTCTGTTCCATATCTAAGCTTATATTATTTCATCTGCAATGATTTCTATATATTATAAAGTTAATAAAGAAAGCTATTAAAAACACAAATGTAAT